TCCTAGATTGAGATCTTCCCTCCAACTCCATTTGTGAACAACTGCAGTCCCTACCCTTGGATCAAAGCTGGTCTGCGGTTTGCTCTCTTTCCGCTTTCAGCTGTGCAGAGGAGGTCACTGGGCCTGAGCCGAGGCTCTCACACTGAGACACATCCCCATGTCTGTCTGTGTTCTGTTGAGACCAGATCTTGCTAAGTTGCTGGCCTGCCAGGCTGGGCTGGAACCTGTGATCCTCCTACCTTGGTGTCCCCCAGCACTGGGATCACAAATGTGCACCACCACGCAACTTTACTTTTGAGAGAGAGAAACAGTGAAGGAACTGGGATCACTAGCAACCTGTAGTTTGGGGTAACTGGGCCACACAGAAAAAGACAAGACGTATTTCCCCCTCCTCGCTGTTCTAGTGGTTCCTTTAACAATACACAGACCATGATGAACACATAGTAAATTGAGGTCAGATCAACTCTGCAGGCCGGGACAGAGGCAGGGGGCACCTGCTGGGGAAATGGCAACCCCTGCTATTCCCAAGAGTTCTGAGATGGGTAAGAATGCCGCTTCCAAAGAAATTGCTGTCCACAAATAGATACTCAAATTACATAAAATGCCAATTTCCACAGAGAAAAATAAAGAAATAAATGTGAGTCAAGCCCGAAATTTGAAAAGGAGAATTTAAAGCCTACTACTTTCTCAGGTAGGGCATTCATGTCTTCCAAAAATGCTCAGACTTTAAACGAAGAGCTTTTAAAGATGTTTGTGCTTTACATTATACAGCAGTAGCTGAGTGTGGTGGTGGTGTACACTTGTAACACTTACAGGTTACACTTGTAACCTGCAAGGCTGAGGCAGGAGTATTACTGCAGAGTTCAAGGCCAGCCTTATATGCATACTGACCCTGTCTCAACAAACAAAAGCCCCAGCTCATGGAGAGGCTAAGGCCATAGGCTGGCCTGGCCAGAGGAGGCCACCATGGATATCATAGAGAGGCTCTGTCTCAAAAAATATATTAGAAAGAGAACTAAAAATCAAAAATATTCACAATCATCATTGCATATGTATCTCAAACTACAGATGAACATTAAGATTTAACAAAAAAGTCCGGGGATATAGCTCAGAGGCACAGTGCCTGCCTGGCAAGCATGAGGCCAAGAGTTTGATTCCTGGTACTAAAAAGAAAAAAAAGATTAAAAAAAATATACTGTGAGACTCCTACTACCATATAATGCTCCAAGATATTTAAACATCAGGGCAAGTAGAAACTGGGAAGAATAAATGCTTGCTAAAATAAGGTTATATGTATTTCCAAATCCAAATAATTAGTTTTTAAGAGCTAATGTCAACTGTTCTTTTTATTTCAAAAACTCCAGTATTAACCATGCAATCTGCACTTCTGTAAGAATTCAGAAGGAGATCCCAAAGATAAAAGTGAAGGCCATGAACTTCAAACATATTGTGTAGCTACAGAAGCACAGCCCTGAGACCTACGTACCATGGCCAAAACCCCAGATTTAGTTATGTATTATTTATGCCTTCCTTGGCTACCACCTACCCTTTTGATCAAGCAAAATGCTGAAGACTTTCAAGGTGCAAATTAACATAAATTACAATGCAGTTAGTTCACACTCGAAAAGGTAAACAAAAAATTTACCACCTGCTAAGCACCTGCTCATGCTCCACTAGTAACTCCCTACTCCCACAGGGCCCATGGGATCATCTCTTCAATTTTACACAAAGAGCTCCTTGGTGCAATCATGTCTGGGGAACTGTCACTCATATACACTGCATTCCCCAATGCATTAAATATACCTTATCGTAATAAACACATTCCCTGTGGAACATCAAAAACACATACATTACTCTTCCAACTGTTCGGCCTGGCTTTTACACATGATGAGCTATGGTCCACACTGGTCCTTCTGCTCTAACGTTATGACGTGGCAAACTTTCTATCTGCAGCAAGACATGTGGAACAAGAATAAGCTTACAGACTTTGCTTGATTCATGCAGTCAAGCCAGGGCCTTGCAGCTGGGCAAGCACTCTACTGTTGAGCTACATTCTTAGTGCAGTTCTGCCTGGATTTAACTGTGTTCAATAGTCTTTATTTTAAATAACTCTAGTATGATAAATTGTCTATATCACCTACATGTACTTTTATTCTTTTTTCTCTGCTTTTCCTTTTGTGATACTGAGGTACCCGAGGCTTTCTCACTAAGCTACATCCTCAGGTGGTGGTGGTGGTGTCTGAGACACAGTCTCACTAAAGGCCTATGCTGAACTTAAATTCTCAATTCTCCTGCCTCGGCCTCCTAAAATGCTAGGATTACAGGTGTGGGCTACTACACCCACCTTTTCTTTCAATATCTAAATCTTGAGTGTTGTCAAATATTCTAACCTTAAATCCAACGTTATTTTGATTTACTTTAAACTCAGCTTCCATTTCAGACCAAATCATCTTAGTAAAGAAATGGCACATGGAGAACTGAAGAGCAAAATTAATGTTCCACACTCTAAAGTAACTAAAAATAACTCAGGAAAGCCTGTTTTACTGGAAATCAGAAATCCCTCCATGTGGGGATAGCACGCTTTCTGGAAGAAGGCTTCCTTCCCATAAGGTAACCTAAGGACACAAATACCTAATGTTTGTTTTTGGTTTGTGTCTCAAACTCGTATTTGAGTACTATGATATGCACATTTTCACCTAATTACATCTGGGTAAAGCTAAATTAAATATTTAAAAATTGGAAGCTATCCTTGAAAGATGGCTTGTACTTAAATTTAGGAGCTTCTCATTAATCGGGGTTGCCAAAGAAGCAGGACCACACAAGCTTTCAAAATACTGAAGAAGAAATTAAGATCTAAAATATTTTAGTCTTTATATTTCAATCACATAGACCACAAACTGAGCCCCTGCTCCAAGAGAACCTGGCAACCTACCAGCTATACAGCATTTCAGTTTCTCTTACCATTTTTTCCATGTAACGCATGCTCTCGATTCTCTTTATGAATCTCAGAAGGGTGGCTCTGTTCTCATCCTAATTATCCCTCCCCTCAAAAAGGAAACACAGCAGTGATTTCTAACTTATGATTTCTAGGGAACCTCTCTTCAAAGGGGAACACAGAACTGAAATGACACAGCTGCCTTAGTGTCACACGCCGGCCTCTAGCCGGAAAACAGTGCTCCAAAGAGTGGACAGCACCTGCCTGAGGAAAACAGAAAATGCTGTTTTCAGCAGCATTATACGCTGACCTAGAAACTGTCCCCAGGATCGGCTCTTCACCCATCCACCAACATCCCATGCCTCTCCCAAAAGCTCACCTTCAAGATGAAAGATCAACACTGCTTTACCCTACAGCTTGAAACTTAATCAATGAAAAGCACATTTACAAGTGCTGAACACCATCATTACCATCACTAAAACTACAAGCAAGCCAAAGTAGTCTAAGACAGGAAGTTAAAAATGCTCCACAGAATTTAAGGAACCAAACTGGATTTGGGCGGAGAATTGTAGGTCAACATCCTACTTCCATAAATAATGCCACTGACTCCTAATGACAGTATTGGGTACTCGAACTGAAACTTGGGTGTCAAACGCCAACATACAAGCCCCACCCTTGGGTTCATGCATAGTTTGAAACCTGTTTTACCTTCAAAAAGGAAGAGGAAAGGTTCTGCCAACGGACTCAACAACAATGCTTTCAGGCAGTACCTTCATTTCCTCATTTACCTCTGCTATGACTTTCTACATACACTACCTAGAAAGTTTACGTTCTTAAAAACAGGCTTTTCTATGTGTCAATACTCAAGCTACCTTGATCTGAACAAAACATCACATGAAAATAAATCAGGACTGCTGATAAACCAGCAAACGTCTATCCATTGTTGTGATTTCTGCTGGAGGAAACATTATTTACAAGACCATTAGAGATTCAAGATGTCTCAGACTTGATTCATTTTCAATGCGTAGGTGCTCTTTGTGATCATGAGGAAAATATGGGAGAGAAAAAAACTAAAACTACTCAAGATTTAGTAGATATGCGAGGACCAAGTGCAGAACTGGTGGCATACAACAATATTCAGTGTCACCTCCTCTAAGCCATTAGGAGATAATCCCAAAACAAATCCCACTCATAAACTAGCCAGAACCAGTATCACTTATCTGAGTTGAGCTTGAATTTAAGAGGAAGAGACTTCTGAACCACAATTCATGTCAAAATCACAATTCATACCCAGACAAGGACACAAACCCCTGCTCCTCACAACTCAAAAATAGCTATTCTACCAAAGACCACTGGGGGGCACACAGAACCCATGGCACATACCCAAAAGTAAACTATTTTTTTAAAATCACGTTTGTATGCATGGGGTTATTTTACTTGTCACCTAATAATTGTGTTTGATAATTGCAAATTATCTCCAAGATTTTTTAAAAGGAATCTTTAGTTTTTAAGAGATAGTACTTTTCAAAGATATGCTATATACTATTTAAATAGCCTAAATTTATATATTCCACACACAAGTAATAAAGCAAATCACCAAGAAAGCTCATAATGCAAAACTCTTCCTGTCATTTCCATTCAGTAGCCTCAAAACATTCTTTAGGAAAAATAAATACAATTCCAATTCTATGGAATAGCATTGGCTTTTGTTCTACTATTTTATTGATGCATAAAACTCAATCTTTTTTGGAGAGATATCTGGGCAGAAGATTCCATGTTAGCAATCAGAATCTTCAAACATGACAGCTGTTCGTCTTGGGAGGCACATCTGTGAGCACAGGCCTCCCAAAAGAAACAAGCACCCACATACACGATCAAACATCCACACAACAAACATCTGCATGTAGACTTCTGACACAGAAAGCACCAGTAGGACTGTGAAGCCACAAAGGAATGTTCAAACTAAGCAGGAAACTTTTTTCAAAGAATATTGAGTAATAAACACAAAGAGTAAGTGTTTCAAATCCAAAGGAAATTTAAAGGGATCAGAAGTCTTTGTACCAACCTGCCTTCTGCTGACTTTAGAAGCAGCCTTTCTGAGGTTCAGTGACCTCGATAACCTCAGCACCTTCACGGAGTCCCTCCGAGAGGCACCGGAGAAAGAGCGATGCCTCCCTGCAGACGTCCTCTTCGCTCTGTCTGCCATCCCCACGAATCAGAACAGTGACATCCACAATGCCCAGATTTCAAACTAATCATAGAATAAAAACCGTAGACTCCAAAGAAACACTCCTTAAAACCCCAACATATGGTCTGTGTTTTGCTCAGTCCTCAAGAAAGGGTAACAACCTGAAAACAGGTGAGAAAGGCAGACCACAACCCATTCTGTGTAAGTAATCCTCCAGGGAGCCACAGGTTTGGCCAGCGACAGCATCGGGTCCAGGCTCCCAGGGAAACCAGGGTCAGGCTCCCAGCACCAAATTAAAACAACCTTCACCAGTTAAACAGGCCAGGAGGAGTCTGTCAGGAGCAAAACAGGTGCAGCAACACAGCTTAGCGTCAGCTGGGTGTGAGCACATTCCTCCAGCTCGCACCCAGCCTGAGACAGAGGGCACTCACGACTCCAACAGGAAGACCAGAGCCCTCTCAGCAGGAAGAGAGTGGTGAAGCTCAGTGGACATTCGCTTCTCCCAGTGAATGAAAAGTAGGATGCTCAGATGCACAAACACACACATTTTACTCGAAAAAGTACAGAACAACATATTCAAACACATTATGCATCTGAAGTCAGGGACATCCAGCTCCTCTGTTCCTGAAAGGGAAGGAAGGGCTGTTTATTCCCTTCCCGAAGGCAACAAGAACATCTTTCCTCACTTTATCTCTGCTCTTAGGAAGCCAGGACTGAGTGTGAGGAGAAATTGGGAAAGTGAGACGTGAGAGCAGTGGTGTGGCTCGCGACAGAGTCCTGGCCAGCCAGTGTGAGACCAGAGCTACAGTCCAAGCACCACAAAAACAAAAATGAACAATAAAAAACGAGAAAATGGAGAGGGGGACTTCTACAAAATATTGAAGTCTATGAATATTCACAATACGACTCATACTCGGAATGCTGTTAAATGCCACAGCCACATAAAACTCCACGCTCTGTAGCACACACACGCCCACCCTGGGCCATCAGGCAGCCCGGGGCACTCAAGGCCACACTTTCTCAATGCAGCCCTAACCCTAAGCACCTACTTTACTTTGTTTACCAGGAGGTGTACAATTACTTTTAAAAGCACACATATCATTAAAGAAACTACATAACCAAAGAACCTGCATGGCCAAAGAGTCTGTAGCAGACTCGAGACAAAAATGGGCAAAGAAGGCGACCGTGGGGGCGTCTGGCACCTGCGAATAGAGCCGCGGGTGGCAGAGCCGCTCTCAGTGTGGGGAGTCCGCGCTGAAGCACTGAGCGGGCTGCGGGGACAGAGCGCGCAGGCAAGGAAATCCATTGACATAAAAGCTGCAAAACACAAGGCCTCTTCTACATCCCACGTCTTTTTTTGCATCCAAAACAATGAATCTAAATTAATTTCTGACATTTAATAATAATTAAATATCCATTTGCTTCAATGAAGACAGTTATTAGAGCTATCGCTGCTTTTCATTAAGTACATAATTTGCCTGAACTCCTTAAGTGTGAATGCAGTTGTTATACATGTAAGATCAGATGTCCTCCCTCACTGGATATGTTTGCTTTGTTTGGCTGGACAGTTCTGAGGAAGACACAATGGATAATATTAAGAAAGTAATGTTCTGGACAGTAACACATAAAATGGGTCATTGTGCATTAATTTTCCTATGGCTGTTTTCTGTCTTTTCATAACATTCTCAGGTTGGTATAAGACTATATATTTCAGAACATAAAGAAACCAGAGATCTTTGAAAATGCTATCTACCAAAAGCATTTCTTGAGGAAACTAGTCCATCTTAAGAAACTTTTTTTAAAAAGGCAGCATTATATTTTACACATGGAACAAGTCCTCATCAAGCGATTTGGGAGAAACAGACAAAAGAGATGAAAAGGAAGTTAGTCAGGAACTCCCTCACTCTGCCTACCCCTGGGTAGGGTCACTACAAATAAGTGACGCTTGCTATGGTTTCAATGTCCCTGCCAGAGCTTCAGTTGAACCTTAATCACCCTGGGGAGGATAGTGGGGAACTGCCCTGGTGAAGGAATTACACAGCTACCTCAGGAGTCGAGGCCTGGTGTCCTCTACTTCCGCCGCGCTCACTCACCCTCTGCCATGTGAAGATGTCGCCAACGCCCAAGGCAGGAGTCAGCACCGTGTTCTTGGGTTCCATCCCACCCTGGCCTCCAGAACAGGAGCCGAGTAAACCACCACTGTTTCACATCGATTACCAGTCCGTGTTGCTCCTTCATAGTAGTAAAAAAGAGCAAGATTCATGCTAGTTTTTAGTGTAGGTTATGGCTGATGTCGAGGCGTCCCCCAAGATTCTCAGGTGCCCATACGTGAGGTTTGGGAAGGTAACTGGATTCTTGGGGCTTAGGGCTGACGTGCTGTGAGGAAGCGGGGTCTGGCTGGGAGAGGCAGGTCACTGGGTCAGGCCGAAGGTCCTACCCCATCTCGGGCCCCTCCCTCCTCACTCTGCTTCCTGGCTGCCATGCCCAGAGCAGCTTCTCCTCCACTGCAGCCCTGTGCCGGGCCATCCTGCCCTGGAGCTGGCTGACAATGGACAGAAACGCGAGCTGAGGTAAACCCCTCCTCCCAAAGTTTTGAGTGTCAGATATTTTGTCCCAGAAAGTCACGACAGTGCACTAGCCTTGACAACAAAGGAATCTAAATCTCAGTTTCTGACACACCTAGTCACAACTAAAGAGGCCTTTAAAGAAATTAACATGAATGTCAACTATACACCATTCTGTCTCACTATCATTTAAGCAGCAGCCCATTCTATTACAGAAAAACTTACTAATGTTTTAAGAACTCATTTCAACACGAGCAAATAAACTCTTCACTAACCCTTATTTATATGCTGGGCTCTCATCTCCAAACTGTACGGACGCTCACTTCCTCCGCATAAAACACCAGAGGGTTTCTGTGCAAGTTATCAGTAACTAGGGACAGGGCCTAAACTGCAGCCTCAGCGAACGCGCGTGCTAATGCATTCTACCAGTCGTCAGGATGCCTCCCTTCCATCATCTGGTCGGATGCCAATGTGTTTAATGACTTAAAGACAAAACAATCAAAATAATGATTTTGCATATGTAATAAAAGAATGTTTAGAAAAGCAGCAATTTGTAAACTTTTAACATGAAGGCATATTTCTTTTACAGCACATTTCTGAAGTGTCAAAACAAAATGTAAGCTGGAGTAGTGATGCTATTAACATTAGAGCCATAAAGACTACATCAGTTTACAAGTCGGAAGCTGCTGATGGGGTGGATGAAACTCCTCGGTGCCAGCCCCTCCCCGAGTTGGGGAAGCTGTGGCCTGTCCCTGATTCTGAGTACCTTTCACACTTTCACACTTTCCCAACTTCTTCTAAGGAAATGGCCAGACAGTTCCCCGAGAATCCTGGGCGCATCACTAAACACTAACAGCCCACAGCCAACGACCTCCACTGTGATCCTTCACCACGCCTGCATCTCAGGATGAACTACTCCACTCAACCCTGTCTTCTCCAAGGGCAAAAAATAGGTATAGAGGGAGCCATTTCACAAGGTCACTGCCATAACAGAAATGCACGACCCCACTGTTGGTCGCAGCAGAATGAGACGTACGTAAGAGAGGAAACGCTTGATACCACATCTGAAATCACCTTCACCACGGAAGAGGCGAACAACACCAGGCCAACACCCTAAGAGAGATGGTTTTGGGCATCACCTGGGCACGGCCCAGTCCCGCCTGAGGCCTTGTCCACACTCCTGACCACCAGCTTCAGAGGGAAAGGAGTCCTGAAGATGCTTATCTGGGGACAAGTTTGGGAACTTCTAAACTTACTGTACCACAGAGGACCAGCAGGAGTGACCTAGACCCACAGGTGAGAGATCTGCAAAGCCCTGAAGTAGCGGAGACCAAACCAGACTGAAAACCAGACAGTACCTCGCAGCCCGCCACACAGGCAAGAGCATGGCAGCGGGCCTAGCGGGTGCTGGCAAGAGCACAAAGCTCATTTCCGGTTTCCAGACTTGGCAAAAGTCCACTGAGAAGACTGAGAAGTGTACACTAGGGGTGCGTAAGTCACGGGGACAGCACCCACTGTCCATGCTCTAGTCCACCAGAAGACAGCAGTGGCATGGAGAGGGGCCAGCAGGGGGCGCTGCTGTGCCCAAAGCAGATCTAAAGTACGCTCTGCCTTACAACACGTACCAGTGGTTAACAAATCTGAGCCAACCCTGGGAACAAAACCGCACCGCACCAGGAGTGACGGTCCTTGGTGCTCTGGTACTGATGTCTAGTAACTGAAGGACAGCAAGCAAATCAAGTCTCATTAAGTGCTTACATTTTCTGTAGCTGTCATTTGGAATCTTGCTTCTTAGTTCTAATTTGTCCAACATTGAAAAACTACTTTTCGTAATACTGCAAGTTCATAATGACCAGGTACCCCGTCTGCACCTTACCCAGTTTCCCCGACAGAGGCGTGGTTTTGAAGTTCCTGTAGCCATAACTAACAGTTAGAATGGGTTGGAAAGCGCAGGTACTGGGCGGATTTGAGAGACCTATGTCCCCAGCCTGGGCATCTTCCTTTGAAACAGGAGTCCAGGGCCTTTTCATAAAACAGGGCATTTTAAAGAGAAATTTTAGTATTTAGGAGTACTGTTAATATTTAGCCTTTCTTTTAATGTAAAAGCGAAACAAGCATCAAGATCTTTACTCAGTAGACTAGCTGCCAAAAATATTTGAAAACAGTCCCCAATGATTAAACCAGAATCAAATTTCAGAGCCATGGAAAAAAACCATAGGACTGATTACACCACCCAGTCTTGTTTGGATAAGCATCCAATAGCTGTGAACCTGGTGCTGTCTTTTTGGTTTAGATTATTAAATAGCTGTTTTACAGTTACAGCTTAAAAGGAACCCTCTCACTTAGAAGTCATTTGGATAATTCGAAATTATTAATTATGTTTATATCACAGCACTTCTGAAAAAAATAAAACACGGATTTAAAAGCTACTTTGATCTTTGGTGCACAGGACTCTACCACTTCTCCATTTGGAAATGGATTTCAACCAGTGTCATATAAAACTGTCTAGAAAGGACTTCACTTGTTCATGTTTAAAACTTTTCCTGTTAATTTTTTTTTAATGTAACTGCGGTGTGTTGGTGCACACCCATAATCCCTGCATCAGGAGAAAAAGGCAGGAGATTCACGAGTTTGAGAACACCCTGGGCAACTTAGTAAGACCCTGCCTCAAAAACAAAAAATAAGTAAAAATTGCAAAAGAG